TTTAAGAGATCAGAGCATCCAGATGGGGCCTCAAAAGCGGTTACCTCGAACTTGTGTGCACTGGGACAGTGACAACTCTGAGAGTCGTCTGTTTCGTCATCGGCGTAGAGGGATATGTTCCGAATGCCATCATCAATGCCACTACCGGATGTGGTATACGAATGTGTTGAAGCGGATTGCCGGTGCTTTTCTCCCTGAAAAATAAATTTACACCTCCGCTTTGACGAAAGTCCACAATATAATGCAATAGCAGACTCAACGAGAAAATTAGATGGTCTGAAAAGACGGGCCCGAGATTTAGTAAAATAGGAAGTCGAGCCTGAATTATATCAATCTAATTAACAAAAATAATGACCTGTAAGTTGTCCTTATAACTTGATCAAATGAGCCGTTAAAATCTTAACAGGTTGACGCTTCCACATTTAGCGCCTGCGCCTTTAAATCCCCCATATTTGCAGTGTTGAAATAAAATATGTCAGGCAATGCTTTCTGAACAAACTTGAGATTTATTATTGCCGATGCATCCTGCAAGTACTAATTGGTTTTTGACAAGACGAATAAGTCGACAGAATTTGGAGAATGCAGTCGAATTAACAACAAGAATCACAGCTAGAAAGGTTTTAAAATTCAGTGGCGAAGGAGAGGTGGATTAGAGGGAGTGACTAATGCTGTTCGTTCGCCGGTTAAATTGTAAGACGACAATCCTAGACACTTCGGTAATAAATACTCAAGGGAGTTGTTACTGCAACTCGCACAAATTTATAAGCAGTGAAAATCTTTTTTTTCACTCACAATAAATGCAAATTTGAAATGCAAATTACACAACATTCCACGTGGGTGAGGCATTGAAGAAGCACTGTAAACAATGCACAAGTAGTAATAATGGATGGGTCAAGGCAGGAACCCAGAACCACAGGGATGCTTATGGTAGAAACAGTTGTACAAACACACCGGAATTCACGGAATAAACTTTTGATTCTTAGATTTCTTTACCTTTGAAAGGGCAAACAAATTATGCAGATTCATTGAACTGCTACAAGAAAATAGTTTAACTTGAGAATTTGCACAATGAGGGCGAGCTGAATCTCACCTCACAATGTGTGCGATCGTTTACACCATAAAACGTGTCGACGAGAGGTATCGGCCTCTCTCTATATTTACGACAGCGTCTAACCTTGATTGTCGTTCGCAACTGCACTGTTGAATTGATAAATACGCGCAAAAACTGGGCCAACAAACAGAGTTCCTAAATTACAAGGTTGGGTTTGAATTGGCCACAGGATTACGAGGACAAATTGCCGGCTGAAAACCTTAAAATCCATATTTAGGAAAACTTGGATAAATCTTGCACACAGCCAGTGTTCATCGGGCTTCGTAAGGCATCCACTTTTAATGAAGATTACAGACGATTTATCCAGTGCATCAACCATATCCCC